CTCTCACCCTCTGCATCTCTGGCCTGTACCCCAGTTCTGTATAAATAAATAAATAAATAAATCTTTAAAAAAAATTTTATTTATGCATACAAGAACTGGGGTACAGGCCAGAGGTGTGGGGGGTAAGAGGATTCACCAGAGATAGAGGAAGAGAAGAACAGGCAGATGTACTAAAACACATTGCTGCTGAGGGGAGCAGCGGAAGGGTCAGGAGAGGTCTGCCAGGCCATGTGGGTCACCTCCCTGGTCAGGGATCAAACTCGTGCTGCAGTGGCTGCAGATAGCTTCATAATACTGTGCTTTAACCTGTTGTGTCATCAGGGAGGTCCCCAAAACTCATTTTAAAAGGAACTCACCATGATAAAAGTATTCTAACATCACTCATTCGCATTCCATGTGTTTCTAATATTACTCTGAACTTAGTCACTTGAACTTTATGATTATTCCATGCTATTTAATATTGGTGATAAAAATTGAGATTATACTTATCTCCTTATTTGTGTTCCATCCTCATGCTTCAGTTCCTCAAAGTGCCTCTTTTTGTAATAGTCTCTTTGTCAAACACATATACCAATTTATACAAATAAATGTTCTTAAAGTGATTATAATAATTATCATTTTATTCTAACACACCACTTTCTTAAACATGCTACAGCTCTTTGTACCCATTCCCACTGCAGGGAATCTTTTATTATCGCTATTATCTCTGTCTAGCTCATTCTTTGTACAGCCTGCCTGGTTTAGAAGTTGTTCTCAGACATCCTGGAGAGGAAGACATGAGGCCACAGAATTCACTCAGTCAAAAGACAAGAACTTTTTTCTTACGCAGCTTCTCATTACTTGTGCCCCTCTGGGAGAAGAAAGTCTCCCCAGTTTAAGACACTTTCATTTGTGGCTCCTAGCTGCCAGAATATAAAACCTCTGGACATCTTTCATTTTTGGCCACCCTGAGGGAATCAGGTCTTGATAAATAGAACTTGAAGATGAGAAAACTCTAGCATCAAAGAGGGCGGCCTCTCCAGTGCTCCCAGAAGCTCCATAATCAAGCCAAGCCTGCACACAGACACGGCTTTCTTATCATGTCTGCCACAGTACGAACATTCAAAGGAAGCCAGGTACTCAGTCTAGAAGTAATGACAGCATGGACTAATTCAGCTAAGTAAGCAAGCAATACCAGTATGTTGAAATAAATCAGTGTGGACCATTTTGTTCAGGGTCTCCTGGTCATGATAAAAGAACAAATTAAAGGTGAACCAGCTTCCATCCACCCTCCCACCCATCCACTCATTTCTATTCCCCCAAACTCACATATCTTAGAATATTTGTTTAAAAATGTCTTTACCAAATGCAATAAAGATCTGGGCTTTACATTTACATTGTAATGCATGCTAAATGTCAGGTTTTCTAGTTGTTCAATTTGTAGTTAAGTGAGAGGCCTCAGGATTTGAAAAGCTATAGAAAACATTTTTGATAGCTTTGGGCTAGATCAAGTGTTGGTTTTAATAGCAGGCCAGATCTCCAAAAACATGCTGTGTAGCTGTATATGAACTTGGCTGTTGGTTTCCTTCGCCAGATGAAAATGATGATTAATCAGGACTTGGATGTCAGTTGCTTTATGTTACATGTGCTCTTAGCTAACAGCTGCCTAGTTCAAGCTGTGATTCCTACATGTCAAATATAAACCTGAAACCATAATTTCCAGCAGGAAAATTTCAAAGTACTCATAGAGTGTATTAGAATATTCAATGTTGTTTCTGATTAAAGTCCACTTAGTATATATAAGTAGACACATATATGTGTGTGTTTATATATACCTGTATGTATATATTTTAAAAACTAACGTTATTATATAACTATAGTTGGTATAGAGATAGAAGTATTTGGAATATATAGGCAACAAGGGAAAAGTGAAAACAAAATGCATCATTAGATGTACATATGTGTAGATATTTTTCAACATACATTCGTTCAAATAATTGTTGTTGATTAGCTAGTATCACTTTCCTTTTTTACTTTGCAATAGATAAAAGCAATGAAATATTATTGACAGGTGAATGATGAGAAATTTAATATTTTATTAAAAATAAATTTAAACATTTTCAATAGTGACTCTTTCTTAAGAGTCCTTCCTTATTTGCTTTTTTAATGCAAAATGCCCTAAGAATAGCATGTGTATGTTTTATTATATAATCCAAAGTAGAAACAAATTCTTAAAAAGAAAAAAGAAAGCAAGTGTTAATCAAGCTTTTCAGAAGTTTAGAAAAGTATATGCCTAAAATTTTAGTGGACCAAATAGGCTGATTTTTTTTAAGCTTACCCTAGATAATAAATGTCTAATTTGAACTGTCCATGTGGCATACAGTTTCCAAATTAAACTCTTTCAGAGACTGTCATTTTTAGCAAAAGAGGGGGAAGTGAGAATTAGACAACACCCAGGCTCTTTCTATACAACTGCAGCCAAGTTGTCTCAAAAAATGAGTTTGCAACGAATCCGCTGCAGTTTATTATCTGAGTGTGCTATAGCAGGACCCCCAGACCCTTAAAGCAATTCACTGAGAACATGTGAACAAAATTGATCCCAGTCCCAGGGCTCCACAAAGTCTAGGCGAGAGAGGTCTGTGTCGTTCCTCTCTTAGTTCCTTTCTCAAAGAATAAACCCAGTTTTGAAGCTGCTTCTTAATATCCAACATATAATGTCCAAGGAAGCATCTGGAAAAGGCCCAGGGAAGTTCAGTAACCTAGCAGTGGAAAGGAAGCTGAGAAAAAGGTCTAAGGTTACTCATTTTTCAACTCTAGTCATTTACTTCTGGGTTTCTAAAACAGGTACTGATCCCTTCTTGCTCCCTCAGGTGGCAAACCTGCTAAGGCTCTTCCAGATTCCTCAAATAAGCTACGCGTCCACCAGCGCCAAACTGAGCGACAAGTCACGCTATGATTACTTTGCCAGAACCGTGCCCCCCGACTTCTATCAAGCCAAAGCCATGGCTGAGATCTTGCGTTTTTTCAACTGGACCTACGTGTCCACGGTTGCCTCAGAGGGCGACTACGGAGAGACAGGGATCGAGGCTTTCGAGCAGGAAGCCCGCCTGCGCAACATCTGCATTGCCACAGCGGAGAAGGTGGGGCGCTCCAACATCCGCAAGTCCTATGACAGCGTGATCCGCGAGCTGCTGCAGAAGCCCAACGCCCGCGTTGTAGTCCTCTTTATGCGCAGTGATGACTCGAGGGAGCTCATTGCGGCTGCCAGCCGCGCCAACGCCTCCTTCACCTGGGTGGCCAGCGACGGCTGGGGTGCGCAAGAGAGCATCATCAAGGGCAGCGAGCAAGTGGCCTACGGCGCCATCACCCTGGAGCTGGCCTCGCAGCCCGTCCGCCAGTTCGATCGCTACTTCCAGAGCCTCAACCCTTACAACAACCACCGCAACCCCTGGTTCCGGGATTTCTGGGAGCAGAAGTTCCAGTGCAGCCTCCAGAACAAGCGGAATCACCGGCGAGCTTGCGACAAGCACCTAGCCATCGACAGCAGCAACTACGAGCAAGAATCCAAGATCATGTTTGTGGTGAATGCAGTGTATGCCATGGCTCACGCCCTGCACAAAATGCAGCGCACCCTCTGTCCCAACACCACCAAGCTTTGCGACGCTATGAAGATCCTGGATGGCAAGAAGTTATACAAGGATTACTTGCTGAAAATCAACTTCACAGGTAAGCAAACGGGTTTTTATCGTCGCCTATGATGTAGATAAGTGGAATAAAAAATTCTGCCACGGAACCAGAAATCACTGTTTCAGTTTCACAAAGGGACTCAAACTCTTAAACAAATATTCCAAGCTGTAAAGCGATGGCTCTAGATGGTCTTTGTCAATTACTATCCTGGCAGGTTCATGACATGAATTAAAAGGCCCCCTACGGTAGGCTGGTCTGTGGTAGCGGCTTATAGTCAAGCTACATAGTATTTGCACTCGCCCCTTTTTGAAAATTCACTGTAGGACATGACACCTGTGATATGAGTATTTAATCTTGCATAACAGAATTGCAACTCTCTAAGGAACACGAACTTCCAAGTCTTTCTGTGGATGTTTGAGCAAAATTTTGTCATAACTTTCACAGTGGGTAAGAGAAGAAAGTCACTTTTCCCAAAGCCTAATTAGAGGAGGAAATGGAAGGATATCCAAACAATGGTGATTTCCAGACATTTGAGTTTATTTTTTCTGTTTTATAGAAACATTCCCATGACAGTATTAACAGCATAGGATTTTCTAAATTATGCTATAAAATGCAACTGTTTTACTGGGAGTATGAATCTAAGCAAACTGAAGAACGGTGGAAGTTATTCTGATACAACAGTAAACAAGCAAAGATGTATTCAAAGTGACTTTTGCCGCTTCTTCTTCTTTTTTTTTTTTTTTAAGATTTATTTATTCATACAGAACTGGGGTACAGGCCAGAAGCACAGGGGCAGTGAGAGGTCTCACCAGTGACAGAGCGGGGAGCAGAGCAGGCAGATCCATGAAGTACACTGCTGAGGGGAGCAGCGGGCGGGACAGGAGAGGTCTGCCGCGCCAGGTGGGTCATCTCCCTGGTGGAGGATCAACTCGCATTGAAGCGGCTGCCGCCACCTTGCAGTGTTGGGTCCTAACCCGTTGTGCCACCAGGGAGGGCTCTCTTCATCGATTTCTAAATATAGCTTTTCATTTTACTGCACTACTAACATAAAAAAAGTCTTTAGGTACATGTGATAACACATCATAACATAACATAATCTTATTGGGCACAATAGAGCTTGATAGCAAGACTATCATGAAGATAAAATGTTTTCAATTGTGAAGATTGCTAATAATCTCCCATGCCACTGGGGCATCACTCTAGTCTACATAGTCTGTTAAAATTGATTTAGTATCTAAGGCGTGAAAGTCTGTAAGTGCAAATCATACTACTATTAGAGCAAGTAGCAACTCTCACATCACACTTACAGATGATCACTCAGAAGCCAAGTGACCTGAAAAATCACTAGAAGTACACAGAGAGGCTCCCATGTCCAAGGATTCCTGTTCCAGAATCCTAACCCCAGAACCAGTCTTGAAGTAAACACAAAATTATTAGCTACATTTTTGCATATTTTTCTTCATTCTACTAAGGCAAACGTCATGGAAATCACTATCACTGTATTCCCTCCTGCTCATCTGATGGATACCAGCTTTTACCATCAAAATGATTCTAGATAGTGGTGGAGATAAAGACTTCTTTGTGTGCCACAAGTATAATCTAAATGGAAATAACAATACATAAAAATAAGAGCAAATCAGCATTTACTTCAAAATTGCAGATGAATTACCATTCTATATTTCTGGAAAATATAAATGGGCCATACATTCAGTAAAAATGAATATTGTTACTGTAAATCTAAATGAATCCTCAGGTATCTATAAATAATATGTACATTGCCCATAATTGTTAGAATTGACTAAGCTATTTCAGTACACATAACCTTACTTTGGGTTGATCATTTGTCTTTATTTTCCAATGTAGTATTTAACTTTTTTATTCTTCACACCTTGCACCTTTCGATGCTAATAGATCCATCATCAACAGCTGATATAAAGAAAATGCTTAGATTCAGCCATTCCTTGCAAGGTAGTACTCCGAGTGGGATTTAATGTAGCCAAAATATTTCCCTTCACTTTACTGATTGAGTTTTTTTTTTTTTTTTTAAGATTTATTTATTTATTCAGACAGAACTGGGGTACAGGCCAGAGATGCGGAGGGTGAGAGGATTCACCAGAGACAGAGTGGGGAGCAGAACAGGCAGATCTACGAAGTACACTGCTGAGGGGAGCAGTGGGCGGGTCAGGAGAAGTCTGCTGTGCCATGTGGTTCAACTCCTGGGTAGGTGGGAATCAAACTCATGCAGAAGTGGCTTAAGCTTCTTAGTGTTGTACTTTAACCTGCTGGCCACCAGGGAGGGCCACTGGTTGACTTTTTAATGGCAAATAAATGTGGAAAAACAAAGTTTTTATTTGAACAAATAAAAACAAAAATAACGCCCCCCCCCCCTTTTTTCAGCCTTTTCCAGTTACTGAGTTTGATTCCACAGATCCGTTGAGTTATGCAGGCCAGACAGCAAGGTGCTATTTTAGCCTTCTCAATTTGCCCAACATTATCAGTTATGTATCTCTGAAGAAAGCAAAAGGGTGGAAAAGAGATTTAAACTACAGAAACAAGAGGGAATTTAGACCAATCACCAGACAAAGATGCATTTTGCTTTTTGCAGTAAATTCTTGCTGCAAATACCCACATATTTGCTATGAGAACTTACAATAGGAGAATGCCAAGATTTTATTTATTTATACGTGTACATTTAATAAATCAGGCAAACACAGTTAGCTATTGAAAAGCAGGGTCATTTTACCTTTTTTTCTCTAAAAATAGTATCTGTTTTTCTAAGTTTATAGAGGCAATAGACTAGGCCCATAGTTAACACTTCACCTTTAGCAATGTTAACTAATCAGTTAACTAACAGCTAAAGGCAATCCTTGCCCTTTGGACTGAAAAACTCCTCTTCCAGCCATTTGTTTTCACTCAATGCTTCCCCCCCAACCCCCACCCCCACCCCAGTTATTCTGAGTGGGGTAACTGTAGCCATTCCCCAATGCCTCTAATTCTTGCATGAGAAAGGAATAAGCCTTTTATCTGAGATGAAAGTTTAATCATATGTTAAAATACACCTTGGTATATTCCTACTACCTTCTTCTGGCATTGGCCAACATGAGTATCACTTGAAGTTAACCCAATTGGAATTTTGGCAACAAAAGACTTTGTAGAACTATGCAAAACTATGATTCTTATAAAAGTGAACTCTCCTGGCATGGGGTCTAAGTCTGTCCCCCCTCCACCCCCTTCTTTATCACACATTCATCCTTCCTTCCACCAACACTGCCAGCAGGTCCCCACCATGTCCTGTTTATATTTTATCTCTGTGCCTGCTATACATACTGCTTTTGTAAGGGGGAAGGGATGTCCTGAACGAGCTCTGTAGATACAGATAGATACAGGTTTTGTGGACTTCACCCCCACCCCAGATACTGCAACTACAGAGCCCATCAATACCAAAGAGAAACATGCTGGGACCTGAGGGTGGAGGTTAAGCAGCCAGGTTTGGTATAACGTGGGCTCTGGGCTCTCTTGGCCTCCTGACGCGTGCTTCTGGCTTGGCTCTTCACTAGCTGTCAGTGTGCTATTGGGGTTCCAGGTCAGCGGAACTGGTAGGAAGCATTAATTAACTTATCTCTCTCTCTCTCTTACCCTGAGTTATTCATTTCCCTTTTCTCTTGTAAATAAACCCATTATTAACCTTTTTGTGTGTGCCTGCAGTTGAATCTTTAGGACAGGGGTTAGGACCCACAGTCAGGCTCCCCAGTTCACACTGGATTCCCCTATAACACTTCCATCACTGGTAGTAGGGTGTTTTCTTAAATTGCTGTCTTATAAAACTCAACTTTATTTATATCAAATATAGAAAGCATTCCTTGAACTTCCCAAACTGAAATAAACACTCCTCTTAATTTTCTATATCATGCTGGCATTTTGCTTTCTCTCATATCTCATCCAAATCCACCAGAAAGTTTGACAATGGCTGTACCTTTCAGAAAGATACAGAATCTATTACCTTCATTTTCACTGCTGCCACCCTGTGCCAAGCCGCCACCATCTCCAGTCTATATTTCTATAATCTCCTACTTGTCTTTCTTTTCCTTTTTCTTTTTTTTCTTGCTTACTGGCAACCCAGGCTTCATAACTCATTTCTTAGATAACATCCAGGTCCTTTTAAAACGTAAATGCCAAGTCACTGTACTCAAAATCCTTAAAAGGTCCTATGAAGTCCTCCCTCCCCCCTCCCTCCCTGTTTCTGTTCTCCTGGCACCTTTTCCTCTCCCTCTTTCTCACTTCCCTGCAGCTATGCTTGTTATTGAACTTTTCACTGCCCTGTCTCTCTGCCTCTGATGACAGATAGCTCCAGGTAACCCCAGAACCAATTAATTCTCTTACTGCCTTCAACTGCTACTTAAATGGTATTTTCTTGGTGAAGCCCACCTCAGCAATCCTTCTTAAAATTGCAATGCAGGGCCTCCAGCCCCCACCACAAGTCCCCTGTTTTCCTTTATCTGTTCTACTTTTTTTTTTCAGCTTTTCACTCCACACCATTTGTTACTTTCATGTTTATTCAGTTTTATTTGCTCTTCACAAGAGTATAAACTTACATTGTCAATATGTTCACCAATGTAGTTCAAGCACAATAGGCACACAGAAATATCTGTTGATTATAGCACTTAACACCCAAACTCATATTTCCTTCCTTAGCTCCCCTACTTGATTGAGTTTTTATTCAAGACAGAAAACGTGCTTCATCTCTGATCTTAAATACTGAATATGTGGGCATTATATAAATATTTACTGAAACTATCAGAGCTGAGAAAAACAATATATTTGTGATTGTTTTGTGAAAATTGAATGTATATGCTTTTTTCATTAATAACAAATTTCAAGAAAGAAATGTATATGACTTTTAGAATGACTTGCTTTTACTCAGCCACTCTCATTTAGATATGTTTTATCTTTGTATTTGAGATAAATATAAAATGAAATATCATTAGCAGTGGAAGGCATCATCACTGTTGATGGATGTTGTGAAGCCCCCAAACAAGTAA